CAAGGATACAGGACTGGACGTGACCACCTCTCTTGCAGCAGCTGACAGTTACATGAACTGGATATTATCTGAAACGTGACATAATTTCAAGCAACATCTAACTTCTAGCATTTCATTGTGAGCCAAAATGTCCTACAGCTTGAAAAAGCCACCTTACCATCCCCTGGAATTGCACCGTCATGGACTAAGTTTAAATGAGACTAATGAAACTAAAAATGAACCTCATGAGACTTCCTCTGAACTCAGTGGAGACAGACATGATTCTTCCAGAGAAAAATCTCAGTGCAACCACATGGCATCTGGCTCTCAAAGTCCTTAAGCAGCATTGGACAGCAGTCTAGGAAATTACTACATGTTTGCATGCTGTGTCCTACATATTCACTGCTGGGTCAGTACTGGCCCCACTAAAATGGGTCTTTATCTGACCCAGATAGGCCACTGTTATTCTGAATATAGAGGGAGCCTGTGGTGTCAAGTCTCAGTAAGCTGAAGTTGGCTTTCATCAGCACTCGCTTTCCATGCCTACAGTCTCTGACCCGCAGCAAACTGGAAAGCTTCTGTCAGGTCTTCTCAGACTGTAACTTAGAACTTTTTTAAAAGAGGAAAGGAGGAAGCAAGGAAGCAAAGAAGGGAGGAAGGGGGATACACCATGTTTTGTAGCAGCACCACACTGACAGCTCAGAACGGGGAGAAGGGGAGATCTTAGGATCTGAATCCTCCACCTTTGCATCTTCCATATCCCTGCAGCCTTAGGCTACCAAAAGCACAACCTTCCCCACCCTGCTGAAATTATGTCGCTGGGCAGCAGAGGAGGCCCCGCTCATGGTGCCATAAAGAGAACCAGGTCTTACAGCCCAGGAGAAAGACCTGCTCCAGTCTTGAGCCTGCCTCAGGCACGGCCCTTAAGCTCACCCTGTATTTCAGCAGGCTGACGCTATATCTAAGTGTGTGGCGGGCAGAGCTTCATCCAACTAAAACGCTCCGCGAGCTCGTTTCGATGGTTTCTGGTAAAGGCAATTCCAGCCAGCCGTGCTGTGCCCGGGGCTCATCTGCAGCCTGCCTCAACTGTCCCAACCGAGACGCGAGACGAGCTACCGCCGGCTTCAAAGCACGGCACGATCCCAATGCCTTCACTTTTGTGAAACGCTGAGATCCACGAGAGAATCACAGAAAGGCAAATGACTTGTTAGTGCATCCTAACCACGAGATAAACGGCCTGCTCAGTTTACAAAGGCTTTCTTTTTTTTTTTTTTTTTTTTTTTTTTTGGACTAAAATCAAGTCCATCCTAAACAACTTTTCAGTTCCAGATATTCCAACAAAGTAGACGTTCCTAAAATTTCTTTTCTTTCTTCTTTTTGTTTTTCCTGGAACCCTTTTAACTCAGTAAACAGGTCTCTGTGTATGGTTTTCAATTACCTTTTATTCTGTAGAGCTAAATGAGACCAGATAGGCATGTTCTTAAAAGGCTTTCATGAAAATGCAAATTAACAGTTCACACTAGTCTGCTGGCTCAATAAATGGCACAGTCCAAAGTATTTAGACACTAGTAAATAGACTTAAAAAAATGCAGAAAGAAAAACCAAATCTGTGGCTCCAAAGAAGCTTTCATTTTCTGGTTACTACCACAAAAYTGGCCATGACAATATATTTAGAATACTTCTTGCGTTATCTATACTAGCTTAGGCAATGTATCCTTCTACTGGCTGAGCTGCAGAAAAGGTATAAATCTTAGTCAGGGGAAATTAGACCAGAATTTAAAACCCCAGGGCTTGTCTGTGGACATGGGCAAGTCAGCTTCTAGTAGAAACATGTGACTGCATTTCCTTATCTGCCAAACTCCCCCCCTCTTCCTCTCCTAAACTTCGCCATTCATTTTAATGTTTTTCTCGAGCCAGCTCAAGTAGAGAGGAGGCTGCACGTTCTTGTCCCCAGAGACCATATTACACGTTAATATTCCTCTGAAAGGATTTTGTTCTTCAAGTAATACCCAAAGGCAGGTTTGCTTGCAGTGTTCAACTTGGAGGAACCYACACGTGCATATGAAACTTAAAAAAAAAATAAAGCTCACTCAAAGCGAGCAGGACATATAGAAGCATGAAAGGAGGGATTAGTGAAATTGAAGCTCCCCAGTTGGTTCCACAGGCTGCTTCCCAGCCTCTTTCCATGCAGGAACACTGCAGCGTCCCACGGGAGCCTGCAGGAGAGGCGAGCGCTCCCCAATGGGCCGAGGCCCCAAGGCCGCGGAAATGTTCCTCAATCCGCGCCACGCAAACGCACCCGGTCGGGTCAGGGCCACCTTCATCGGAGCTGCCTCGGGCCGCTGGCCTGGTACGGCCTGGGGTGTTTGTACGACAGGAAAGGGCTGCTGAGGCAGGGGGCGAACTGCTAGAGCACAACGGTGGCCATTAAACAGGCGCCCATCTTAAAACCAGGCCGCGTCTACCKGCACTGTCCTCCGGCTCCCAGAAACGCCCTGTGTAGGACATTTAGGACAGACCAGGCTCTGTCCTTCACCACAGAGCGAGAAGCAGACACGGAGTCGCCCCTCAGGAGCCCGTGCACCTGCATCAACGCTTTCCTGGCGGGAGAAACCAAGCTCGCGCGGCCTTGGCTATTTCTGTCTAGCCCCGAGCAAGTTGCAGATGAAGGATATTTAGAGGCTAGACAGCCTGCAACCGTGAACTGTAATTAGTCCACCGGGTTGCTGCCGCTTCTGCTGGGTTTAAAGGCAAGTATTGGCAAGAATAGGTTCTTCAGAGCGAAGAATCCCTTCGGAGTTGAGGGTTCCGCTCACCCTTTCCTTGCAAACAGCAAACACAGTTAAACTACTTCGAGGCAGGGAAATGTGGAATCTGACAGGGTTTCGTGACTCCACGCGCCTGGCTGCCAGGCCAGGGCTCTCCCCTTGCAAGAGGCAACGCAGGGCGCTGCTGGCCCCAGCACGGGCACTGCTGCTGCCCTGCTCTCCCCTGGCGYGGCGGTGGCAGCGACGGCAGCAACAACTGAGTTTGAGCTGCCCCTTCCCAGCCTGGTGCCCTGCATGCCCAGGGGAAGCAGGGGGGATGTGGCAGGGGGAATAYGTCCTGCAATACCAGTGGGGTCAGCTCTGGTTAACGCCAAGCAGCCATGAGGCTATGGGGTAGAGTTGGACACCTCTGCTCTTGTCCAGCTTGGTAGATACCTGCTCGCTCTCTTCTATCCTAGAAACCTGGAAAGGAGAGGAGGGCACCCAAGACATTTCCTCCCAGGACAGGGATTCTGACAAAGCAACACAAACACCTCAGTGTTTGCATAAAAAAAATGCTCCTTTTCTCTACATAGGAAGACATTTGTTCAAAGAAACTCAACTTTCTCACTGTACRTTATTTTCACAGCAGCTACACTCAGCCAAGACAGTAAAAATGCTCAGTCTTCAAAACAAGATATTATGTAAATAAACCCTAAATCAYGGCCTGCACTGATATGCGGCTCACTGTTCAGCAAGGAAAACAGTTCTTGTTTTTTCAATTAAATGCTGATTTTATCTATAATTCTAGACTGTTCTGTTTATTTACATAAAACATTACGTCGCTTGTTGAATTCCAAACTGTAACTCTGAACCTCTGATTAACGCCAGTATTTTGGAAATCTATAGATCAAATAAATTTACCTGACCAATGGTGGAAGTCTCCCAACAGGCAGTACAGGCATGTGGTGCTAACCAGGCCTGATCTTGGTGCACACGYGTCCCCCAATTTACGAGCACCCCACCCAGCATAATGAGACTAATGGATGTTAAGATACTAGCCGAGATAGCCAAGGGCCATGCACTTGCAGTGGCTCCTGAAAGCTTTTCATGCACTAAAGGGTCAGGTAATGCACTCTGGCTGTGACTCGTGCAACCAGCAAAGAGCTGCAGCAACTCAAGGTGTTATCTGCCCTTCACGACATTGCAGCAGAATCACTGCAAGAAACCTGCACCCCCAGCTCTGCTGCTGCGGGCCACCACCTCACTATAAGGGCCTCTTAAGGGGCCTCTTAAGGGCCACTATAAGGGCAAGGGGAGCAAACACGCTCGGCCACAACCCGGAGCGTCTGCGCTGCAGGAGGTGCCCGCTGCCTTTGCCGACTGCAGCCACGCAGGAGGGTTTAATGGAGCAAACCTGTCAGAGCTGATAGCGGCTGCCCTAGAACAGAACACGCTTGTTTACTTTAACTGCATTTTTCCAAATCATTTCAGACTTCTCTCCATTGAGCAGTAACGCTGCTTGGCAGCAAATTATCCCCGGAGATCCCTTAGGATTTCCCCTCACAGTATGACTAGCTCAGGCTACGACTTGAGTTTTGATTCTCGGATGAGTCTCATCCCTGCGCACAAGTCCCCGGCTCAGCGTGTCGGGGATGCCGAGTGGGATGAGCCAGGAGCACCACGGATGCCAGGGCACATGGCCACCGGTGCTGCAAAGACACAGGAGCAACTCGGGTGCACTGCTTAGTACATAGCTACTCTCTGCACTGCTAATTGTTTGTAATTAGTCACGTTATTCAGTTATCTGTGATTCCACAAGACCAAGGCTAAGCATAATACGCTGTCTCGTAACTGAGTAATGGCCAATTTTCTTACTTCTGTGGATTTAAATACAATAATTTCTGCTCTTAACRTAATTTGCTTCGTCATCGCTCTGCCAATGGGCAAGTGTTTAAGCTGCCATGTATTTTCATTTGCAATGAAACAATGATAAATCATATAAAATACTCTAGTGAATGTAATTGTCACACTGCCTGTAAACTACCCTGTATCCCACAGTCATTTGCAATTTTTGTAAACACATTGGAACTGGCAAAGAGAATCTCTAGAAATCTTTTCAAACTTCAATACACAAAAGTTCAGACAAAAAGCACTTGCATCAATATACATATTACCAGAATAAATCACTTAATCAATTTGAACTATACTCTTTTTTTTTTTTAACATTTGATACATTAGCCTTTTCATTATACATGCAATGTTTTTCCTTACCTTTAGGGAATCAAAGCAGGCAATAACCCTTCCATTTTCAACCTGGCAACTTTTAGGGGGATGTGCAAATTTGCATTCCTCATCAGAGCGTGAACAAGTTCCCCTCTGAAATTGTCTGCACACTTCTAACGTTAGCCATTTTGTATCTCTGACAGGAGCCACATTCAAAGCCATGATGAAGAGCTGATTTGGCTGCTGTAAATTGCTGTCAAGTGAATTATGCCAAAGAAAGCTCAAAAAAAAAAAAAAAAAGATGGGGGGGGAAGAACAGCAAAAATATTAACCAGAAAAAAATAATTCCAACTGGAAAGGAAGTGTTTGTTTTTTGTTTTTGAAAGTGGCGGGGGAGGATTAAGAATGTCCAACACACACAAAGGAAAAAAACTAGAGAAACTTTATCAGCAAACAGTCACTCATCAATCATTAAGTCCCACTTGTAGACTTTTGGCTGAAAAAAAACATGCTCAGTAGCATTTCTGTCTGTAAAACGCCGGGGTCCGTTGAGTGTGTCACTGACACTCCAGTTTGAAGTCAAGGTTCTTCAATGCAATGGCACTCCTTGGGAGAGCAGCAATCCCTCGCAGATCACTCGCTGGTGGTGATTGCACAAGAAATGCAATGCAGTCATCTGCTTGTGGCCCAGTGATAGATCTTCGCTGTCGTCGTCGTCTTTTTACCTTGAAGATTGTTTCACATCGATGAATTGGCAAAGCGAGATGGCTGAGGTATCTTCTGCCACGTGCAAGGTCAAGGCAATGGCTAGCTGGCAAAGACAGTATTTTGAAAGCACGGGCGTAGCAGTCCTCTCTCGCAAAAGTGACTTCACAAAGGCACTTTTTAAATCACTGACCTGACAAAACAAATACAACATCAGTTCACATTCAGCTCATTTGAATCAACATTATGAAACCTATCAACACTTCTTATCAGAAACGATAAACAGGCTGCCAGTGCTTGCTCATATTCCTTTCTCCAAACCAAGCCAGCCTCCTTCATGAAGTTATACGTGACAAGGGAATAACCGGTTGAAAGAGTATTGCAGTAATATTCTAGGCAGCAATCCAAAAGTTGGGAATGATTTAAATAGATGAATGTGGCAGACACAATAATTAGGCATGGTGGTTGTGAAACAATTCAATCTAATGTGCTTAGGCTCCAAAACAACATACAAGTTTCCATTAATTCATCATTTGGCCCTTTGGATTGTGCTACTGCTTTATAAACTGTTATTTGTTCTCTCTTAGAATGAAGATAGTAGTATTCTGCTGGGGTTTCCTGCATCTCTCCCACTCTCTTATTCAAGGGAGGAAAAACAGAAAACAGAATGGCCATACCAAAATTACAAGGAAAAAAAAATCTTCTTTGCCCAGAAGCAATCAATTAGTTTCCCTGTTAAAGCCAAGGCTGCTTTTGAAAGGCTTCGTGAAAGACCAGTCTTTCCTAAGTCATCACTGTCTGGTAAGTCCGTTCTCATGTCCCAAAACTTTTTCTGGATTTTTCTTTGATTAAAGCCTTCATGCCCCTTTACAAATACATGGTTCATCATCAAAATCCTGGACTTTCAAACATGGAACTTAAACTATTAAAATATACATATGACATTTTATAGTCCCCAAATAGTTTTAAGTTCCATTTTAGGCTCTGCAGATAGATTTGAAAAAAAACCAATAGGTTAGATATTATATGCAGCCTTTAAAAAATGACTGTGTATTACATGCAGAGCATGAAACCATGGTCATGGAGTTTCCTTCCTTCTATTCAGCTTCTAAAGAACACAAACTTCACTTGACAGATACCAGCCAGAAGCAGTTGATTATTTTTGTGCAAAAATACTGAATAGGGGATGATTGGAATAAATTATATTTTAAAATGTACCAAGAAAAGCTGAAAAAAAAACCCCACATTGTTGGCTTTCCCATGCCTGAAAAAAAAAATGTATCATTGAGTGCTTAGATTCATCTGGTTTATTGAAGCCAGTCTTGTTAGAAGTAACGTGAGTAAGAATTACTCGCGCAGAGTTTCAGGAACAGTTCTGACTTCTAGGTCTTCACCACATCAAAAGCCTCTCTTATTACTTAATAATGCTAACAAAAGAAAAGGTTTCACTATGTGACCGATACCTACAACAAAATTTGCTACTACTAGTACAAGTAAAGGTAATACAATGCTGATTGCTCAGCAATTCAGTTTCAAGTCAAATGTGTAGCAAGATGCCTGGCTTGTGCTTAGCTAGTTCCACCTCTTCCTTCTGCAAGTTGCCAAAGAGTACATTTTAAAACAATTCTACACTATATTACACAATTGTGATATAGTACAGTATATGAATTAAATCCTCCTTTCATTAATTATTCCTTAGATGTCGTCCCAAAGCATCAATAAAGAATGGAGTTAAACTGAAAAGCGGACACAGAGGTGAGAAAATACTTGTAAATGATTAAAAGTAAAGAGGAGAAAAAATGAAAGGAATTAAAAAATAAAAGAGCTTTTCCAGAAGAGCTTGCTGGGTTGATGACTTAACCATCTAAATGAAAAAGAAGAAAAATTCCCTTCGAAGCCACTCTTTCAAATTCAGGGGTGTTGGCAATGGTTTTCAGAAGGGTATGTAGGAGATGAAAATTTTTCTTAAAATTTCAGTCTATGTTATATGGCATACTGCTTAAAAAAATCACAAGTAGCAAYTGTCTGCTGCACTGTATACCACTACAGCTGATAAAGCTGTTTCTCAAATAGTAGGTGTTAAGACTGACAAAAAATAGATATTACATAGCACGACACTGCAACACTGCCCGTTTTACAAATGGTTTCAGTCATACTTAAAAAAAAAAAAAAAAAAGACATTTCCAGTAGAATCAAATATGAAATTGTAACAAGAATAAATACCACAAGGGTATTTATGTTATGGTGGAGGGGGAAGTAGGAGAGTGGAAGAAAAATTATAAATACATAGAAATATTCACCCTATTTCCATTTTCTCAATATATGAGCATACTAGACAAGGTTTTCCAGAAACRAGAGGGCACAAAGAGCTTCTCTCCTGAATTTTATCCTGCCTAAATAACGCCGCCATGAGACTTCCCAAGAAACGTGCGGTACTTCGGCAGCTTCTGCAGACCCACGTGGGCATGGAGGAGCCCCAGGGCAGCGCTGAGATGTTCTGGAGCATGAAAGGGCTCTCGGGCAGGAGCAGGCACGAAGGCGGTGGGGACATTCGGAGAGCTCCATCAGGACCACCTATGGGGTCTAGGTGCTTACTGCCACCCACAGCCAACTGYACTGCCTCCTCCTCCTCCTCTTCCTCCTCCAGTCTTCTGGGCCAGGAAGATGGGCCACGTGGAGAGCATGGGTTTGGGAGGAAGGTAATACAAAGGGACGGGAGGAGAAAGAAAAATGAGAAACGGTCTAGAAGGAACAAAAAAGAGACGAGTTCATAACATGCGGAAAGAGCTCAAGAGAAGAGAAAAGCAGGAGTAGAAAAACAGAAAGTGAAGTGGCTGGTTGTGGAAGAGGAAAGGCAGAGGCTTCATGGGGAAAGCGAGACGAGGGRAGAAACGTGGAGGAGGTGAACTTTGGGGGAGAAAAGGAATTTTCAAAGGACGGGAGAAGCGAATAAGGTTACATGGGAAAATCCAGTGGTTTGGGTAAAGAGATTGATGGAAATGAAGGAAAAGCAGCACGGCCTTATGTAAGAAAATACAAACAAAACAGTAACAGAAAGCCTGTACAAAACGCTTTCCCCAGGGCACGGGCCCTTAATAATGTCCCAGCTAACTCAGACCTTACGTGCTGCGAAACCCACCCACGTGGAGAAGAGGGGGGGTCTCTGGCAAGCGGGAACTTGGCTTTTCTTTCCACTGGCTCCAATGGGCCAGGCCGGCCTGCCCGGCTTCCAGCAGCACGTAGCCAAGGCCGGCTAGGCCGAGCCTTTTGCTTTGCCCAGGCTTCTTGCTGCAGCCTTGTTCTTGGTGGTTTTGACGACTCCAGCTCTCTGGGCAACACAACTTGACCCTACATCCCCCACTGGAGCTAAACAGACTGCATTATCTTTTTATTTTTAAACAGCTGTTGCTGCTTATTTCAGTCTCTCATGCACTTGGATCAATGGAACTTATTCGAAGTATACCCACAAACCGAGTTTTCTATACACAAAATAAATTCATTTGGAAACTCTCTTTYACTTTATACCTCCCCCTTTCATTTCTTCCTGGCAGAATCCTATAAAGGCACAGAGGAGTAGGTGGTTTTTGCCAACCTTGTGTTCCCTTGAGATACAAAGGAAGAACCTGTGCTCGAATCCACGGCTTCTTTGAGCTGTGTTTTAAACAACAGTCTTTTTTCCTTTTCCAAGTAGATATTATGTACCATTGCATTTAAATATATCCTTTCCCATAAACATTTATAAACATTTTCCCTTTAATTTTTAAATAAGACAAAACACATAGGCACTAGGAACCTCTAGSAAAGGTTCCAATTCAGAGAAACATTAAGCAACCGCATGGGAATTTCTAGTGAGCAGCGCCTTGCCCTGCTGCAAAAAACTGTGGATCTCAGCTCAAAATAAGAGCTCTGGCTAGATAACAAAAAAATATGGGGGGCTCTGGCTCAGCAGTTTTACTTATCAGGCAGATTAGGGGGTGAAGTGAAGCTGTGTGTTGTTGGAGCTGAGGCTTTCTGGATGGGCCCTGTTCGCGCTGCAGCAGGTCATGGCTGCAAGGCCGCAACCACCTTTCCAGGGTAATAATGAGCGAGGGAGGATAATTCCACCTGCGGATCAAAAAGGCACTTCTGCAGATGACAACTTTGATGAAAGGATCAGAGCTCTATGCAGGCTCCCAACACAGATCGCTACTGAACCCTCTCATTTCAGAAGGAATTATAATTTTCCACTTTAGAAAATTAAGCAAACCATTATATCCACAAAATCAATAAGAGACTGGAGCTCTACTTATTGATCCTACTGTCAGACTTTATCAACACGATCCATTTAATTTTTCTTTTATAATATATATAACATGCTGAAAATAAGAACCAAAAGTTACAAAATCCTCAGTTGTACTTAAAAATGGCTGCATATATTTAAAGTAACCAGTGTACCAGAAAAGGTTTGCTAAATATACCGAGCAAGCTCTTCTCTTTACAGTGGTCYGCTTTAAAACCAAGGGATGAAAACGACACAAAAACCCCATCCCACTGCGTGGTGAAACCATGCTGACCTTCCCTTGGGTCCCTAGCAGGGCCTGCTGCCCAAACTCATGCTGCAAGTGGTTGCAGCAGCTCTTCTCTGGGTGGAGTGCAGGGAGTGAGACAGATTTTGGCATGGGTTTCACAGCCATTCTCCAGAACAGGTAAACTGGGATGGGCTCCAATACAGGAGAACATCAAGCCAGCTTATCTAGTAACCATCTCCCCCTGCACTACGCTTTACGAGCCCAGGCAGACAAGAAATCCTGCGTGCACTTTGCAGCGCAGAAGGTGTAAATCCTCAAGCAGTTATGCAGCCTTGTACTTTAGGTCATCTACTCAGTACAGTCACACAAAATCCCTGTTGGAGCAAACTGCTCCAGTGTGCTGGATGCTCAACGCCACCAGAACATCTTCAGAACTTAAGTTTTCCAACATACCATGTGTGACTTTTCAGAGTGTTGGCTTATTCAAAAACACAGTATCGTGTTTAAGGGGCCCAAAATCATCTCACTGAAAAGTGTTGGATGTTCTCAGCTGTAAGAACTGCCAGCCTCAAGGCCCAGCATCCACATGCTCCACATCAGATAATCTCACCAATGGCATTAGGTCCTCAGGAGCCTTCATCTGGGTCTGAGCATAACCTGAACTCTCAGTTTAGCCATTCCCTCC